AGGTGTACCTTTTTTTATCCAATTTATCGAGACACAACAAATGCTTCATGTATCTTTTATCGTTCGATATTTGTTGAAATTGCCCAAGCCCGGGAAAAAATCTCCACCGTAAAAAGTTGTTTTGATTGCTCAAACAAAAAGAAAAATGTGAATCGAATCACTGCGTCATTTATTCGCGAAGGTTGCACAATGCATAAGATATTACACAGAAATTGTATGCACAGCGATATTGAATAATTTATATGGATATGTTAATCCGACGTCTTCGAAAACTTCTTTTTTTATTTCTCTTATATTGGTAAATAAATTCTCCGTCGAACTTGGCCGATGCAGCTCGCGTAATCCTGTTTCTCGAACATTACGGGAGACACTCGGTGGACGTATTTCAATTTGTGTCCATAGGGCATCATATAACTGTTCATTCGATTCTCACGGACTCGTTTTCAGACAGACTGGTTTTTGCTTCACACGCGCGCCCTCTATCCGTGGAACTCCGGCGTCCCATTATGCAAAATGTTTATCTCGGATCGAAATAAAAGTAGAAACTATCGATAGTACAATAAACTTTCTAGAACTCGAAACATCAGATGTAGACACGACACACATTTCCATACGTTCGAATAGAATTTTTAAATCACCTTTTTATCATCGTGTATTAAATCTACGAACATACAGAACGATTGTAGTAAGTAGGTTATAGGTTATAAGAGAAACTTTGTACAGAGTGCAATTACACTTTTTTTAACATAATAATATGACAGGACAATAGGTTTCCAATTAATCAACGACTACTTTCATTTTCATTAATTGCTTATTATTATTATTCAGTACCTAAACGTTGCTGAACCGGTTCATCGGTGTGGCTCGTCTAACAACATGCTTCCCAATGAACCGTGGAATTTCTTACACTCGTATACATAACACCTTACTATAATCACTATACCCCTATGTACGAAAACTTTTTGCTCCTGTAAGTTGTGTAATTTTAAATGGTTTATTCCGCCATTCCATTAACAAATTTCGCCAGAACAGTACAACAATGCCAGTCCAACAACCACAATCACAATCAGAGAATAGTTATTTGTGTGGTCGATGCATCAATGCCGGATACTTGGTTACGCCTAACCGAGCGTGAAGTTTTTTATTGTTTACGAGGAGATTGCATTCTAAACCGTTACACCTGGTATATCTTCGACGGACTAACGTCCAAAAGTTTTCTTCTTTTTTGCGTATCGAACGTTGCTGCTGACTTTTTCTCCGCGAACGTCGAGATACAGGGCGGCGAGTGCGACAGGTCAAGGAAGCTGTTGCGATAAAAAGCGATGCGTGACGTTCGAGGTCACGTTCGCGTCGATGTGCCCGTTCAAATTGTTGCAAAAGCGTATTGAGAGAGTATGAGTTCGTTCCCCTCGCGTGCAGCATTCTTTATTTTTCTTCCGACAAGGCAAACGCGTATGCAGATCGCAGATTTATTCCATAAAAATTGGATGAAATTCTCCAGATAAAATTTCCTTTTTAACCTTTCGGTACGTTTACGTCGATACACGCCCCAATAATCGGTTCTCTTGATTGATGTTCTTGCGTCTAGAAATTCAGTAAATTGATTCTGGTTTGGAAAAATTATTTTCAATTTTAATATCAATAGAACGAACTGTGATGTATATTTTCTTAGATTCTTTAATTAATCGAGGAACTAGAAGTCGTGACTTCTACTGCCACGTGAAAACGAGCCTTAAAGAAATTTGATCCTCGGTTCTGGGTCACGAAAACGTGTCGTTCGCCTAACCTAACCTCACTCAGTCTGCAATATATTCTTCGACTACGCGGACAGAAGCCACGTCGCCTCGATGCGTCGCTCGCGAGTATCTACCATTTGCATGCAACTTTAAAATTCCGCATTCGTGTCAATTTCGCATTCATACAGTCCCCGACGAACTTTCCTATTACATAAAAATGAAGCATGATTGGACAGAATTTCGTGTAATATAGGTGACAAACAAAATCAAAGTTTAGCGATGTATCTGAATAATCAATTCTACAAACAATAACTCTCCCACAAGTTCAGCGTCACAACAGGTGAACTAATTTTGTAATATTCGTAACGTGACGTGTGGGGGCACGCGACCCTTTCGCTCTTTCCTTGTCACGGCCCTGCTTGGAGTCGCTTGGCTCCTTGATATCGTTCAGACGATACTGAACGTTTTAATTGACGCGACCTCGCTTCAATTGATGTATATCCGCGCAAAAACCAGGGTGAACGCGTCTTGTTTGTAAATACCGGCGAAAATAGTCGCGGTTTATCTTCTTTCTTCGTAAAAAGGAGATCGCCATTGACAACGTAAACTCCACGCTCGCTCGCGAATATGATCAGCCGTAACTCGTCGATGAACCGCGATTGGCTATATTGAAATTAATGCTCTCAACACTTTACCGACTGCATAGAAGAAACGAACACTCGCGGCGTCTGGTTGGTTGTTTGTCAACGCAGTACAATTGGTTAAGTAATTCGAAAACAAGAAACGGAACTTTATTTGCTGTTTAAATACATGAACAAATTTCAGGTTTCTCTTGTACAAACAGTACTTGAAATTAGGTCGGTGCATTTCCCGCGTACAGATTCATATTGTCTCGTATATTCACCAACAGATGGGTTAATAAATTTTTTTTATTAAGCAAAGTTTGGGTATTACATATGCACACTAAATATTCGTTTTCTGCGAGCGACGAGATGCGAGAAAATAAACTATGCAGACGGACGAGGAGCAGAGCTGCAGTGCTGTTTACAAACCTAACCTCAAAGCGACTGCAACGACCTTCGCGTGCAGTCTGCGAACGTAATATCATTATTGAAAAATAAAATCCTAGTATTACGTTCTTGATATCGATTTGCAGCCAAAAAGTTAATTCATTAATATCACATCGCTTATGACACAGAAGATCTACTGTAATGAAAATTTGCGTCCAATTAAGTATCTCTGCAGCATCAGTGGAAACGTTAAATGCTAGTGTCAGAGTTCAAACGAACATTAATTGTATAATAAAATTTATGGTTTATTAATTAATCCTAAAAAAATAACATAAAATCACTGACTGAACGAACGTTCTTTTATTGTCAGCATTACGTAATTTGTTTTTCGTATCGTATCGTAGTTTTGCTAATATTAAATTTCACTCGAATCATCGATACAAATTTAAAATTTGTTTGATAAGAAAACACCGACTTTGGTAATTAAGGAACATTTTACAAATATTTGACGTTATCGCGTGACGAATCCACCTCTTCTTTTTTTCATAGTATATTTACACCATGTGTTTGGTGTACACGGTTACGTAATTTCTTTTGTTAACAACTTTTTTCTCCGCGTCGAGCAACAGTGTTTGCACACCCGATAAAAGCAAATGAGATCACCGTGCAAATTAATAATTAAGCGGGCGAATAACGATGTCATTATACTACTATCGAAGGATACGGCATGTTTAATCGATTCATTCTCCGCGACGCGTTTATTTCAAGAATTTGTCAGAAAAAGTGCGATCCACTCAACACAGTGACGGTGATATTAATAAACGTGTAATCCTTGAATCGTTTCCGAGATTCCGTTCCCCGTTTTTGCAGAATTGATTCCTTCGTTCCTGGAAGTCGTGTTACAAGTTCTGAATTAAAATATCCATTGAAAATCGAAAGGTTTTAATTTTATGGAGAAACATCACGTGACCAAGCTCGTGGCTCGCCAGTCGATCGACGCGTGCGATGGACGCCTATGGGCGTTCGATTTGCATGTTAAATAGATACGACTAGAGGATTTCCGCACAGTGGGGGTTAAAGGGCTTAAAATGGACATTCAAGTATCGACTTTCGACACGCTGAGTCTTCAAGGCACCTTTCTAATTTTTTAATTCGGTATTAAGTTCGTAATTCCAACGGCTGAGCTCGTCGATAGGAAAATCCCGCTCTGCTAATGAGTTATGTAGATTTCGTAATATTAATTAATGAGATGCAAAGCCGTAATGAAGCAACAGGATGGTGTTTTCACCTCTTAATCCCGCGGGGAGAAGATCGCGTGAAATTGTTATGTCGTTCGGGACAGGTGCACGAACGTGATTCACCACGTGCGCATTTGCATTGGTCGAAGGAACAACAACACGCCGCACGTGAGCTTAATGTATCGTTTAATTAGAGTGGGGACGAAAGTTTGTTTGCAAACTTTCCATCGAACCCGAGCAAACTTTCCACCGACTGTGGAATAAAAAAGATATTTGAGTAAACTTGAGATCTTGCCGCCACATTTATATTCGATAGCGTGGTGGACAATGTTGCACGGTAAAAATACCGAAATGTTTGCGTAATCTTTTGTGCGGACTATCCGAGAAAGGTTAAGAGTCTACGAGATGTGCATAATCAGTCGGGAACGTTTATAATGGAGGACGCATTCTTCTCTGTTTACATATTCATTACACCCCTCAAAGAAACACGAAGCTTTCAACATAGAGACAACGTCAACAATTACAACACGACACTTGAATGCATACAGTAGTCTGTGTTGGCTGTGTTAGATCTAGAATTAGGTTTAGAGAACCAATGGAATACCCCATAGTTGCAACCAGTACTGTCCCTCGACACATAGAACCGTAACACACGAAATTGACCAAGATCACTGAGTGCATCGTTGAAAAATATTTTGTACAGTGGAACCTCTGCTGAGAAAACAGTGTTCGGTGTACTAGTTCTAATTGTATTGTTTGTTTCGTAGCTCGTTGGGTAAGTAGACATTGGTCTTAAGTACATCGGTGGACGACCAAAGAGAATCGTCATTCATAGAGGTTTCACTGTCTTTAGTTCATAGATGTCCACCGTTTGGCATCGAGTCTCCCAAGAACGTCCATTGACACGATGAGCTCAGTAATCGTCCCTAAACTAGTAGACTCTGTTCTCAAAATGTTCCCTGAAACTGGTTCTCTGTCTCCGAGGCCATTTTAATAACCTAATTCTCCATTCGCAGGTGCTGTCCATGAGCGAGGAGCTCAGGCGAGCCCTGTACGCCAACAGCGCCATCTCCTTGGACAATGACGTGATCGTGCCGGATTTGGTTGGCACCACTGAAATCCTCAGCGATGAACACAGGGAACAGCTCTGCCGGCACCTGCCCGCCAGAGCGGAAGGCTACCTCTGGACCCTGGTGTTCAGCACCAGCCAGCACGGATTCAGTCTCAACAGCATGTACAGGAAGATGGCCAAAGTAGAGAGTCCGATCCTGTTGGTCATCGAGGACACCGAAGACAACGTGAGAAATCGTTCTGGAAAAAATTATTTTTAGCTGCGGGGGTCGATTACAATTATTTTTGGTCGATAGACATACCCTCGAATTTCTACGCAGTTTCGAGAAAAAAATTCCTGACCGAAAATATAATGTGAGGTTAGAAACGTAACGGGGCTCTAGAGCCCTAAAGAAATGGGGCGAAAAAGCATAGTTGACGTGAGATCTGCTCGTATACGTCGTTTGTGGTCGAACGTGTTAACCACGACCGGTGCAGTAGAATCGTTATTGTACCGTTCAGTTCTTCCCTTTTCGAGCTACTCCGGTTCAGAGTTGATTACCCCAACCCATCGTCATCGTTCCCGTCCGTTGAATGTGACGTTGATTCCAATTACGTACGAGTGTTTGGAGTGTAGGATACCCTTTGTTTTCGAATTTCGAGTTCGTGCTCTCTGGATGCGCCGAAGCGTACGGAAGTTATTACTGTTTCGCACAGTATAACGAACTGAATACCGAATAGACAAAGGTTTCCGCGGCTGTGCGGGAGGAGTATGTCACGGTGCTTCGAAATTTACTATAGATTCTGGGTCTTTGTAGTCGAACGTGAAAGGGAAGAGTTCAGCAATCGAAACGTTATCTAGTCTAGTCATCAATGTTTGTTGAAAAGCCCCGTTCTTTGATTTAGCGTAAATCATAATTTTCCGTGGTTACAGGTGTTTGGAGCGTTGACCTCATGCGCTCTGCACGTCAGCGACCATTTCTATGGGACTGGGGAGTCCCTGCTCTTCAGGTTTACGCCCAGGTTCCAAGCATTCAACTGGTCTGGAGATAACTTATACTTCATCAAAGGAAACAATGAGAGTCTTGCCATAGGTGCTGGGGAGTAAGTACTCTGTTCATTTTTCTGGAGATAAAAAAATATAAAACGATCATCAAGCACTTGACCGTCCCTTTACAAACACAACCTATACACTTCTACCAATAGAACCGGAATACGTTTAATGTTACAGTGGCAAGTTTGGATTGTGGCTGGATGGCGACCTGTACCAAGGCAGGACGCAATCCTGCAGCACGTACGGAAACGAGCCGTTGGCGCCGCGCGAGGATTTCGTTGTTAAAACACTGGAATGTTGGGCGTTCATATAGGACACGGCCACCTCCTACACGTTGTCCAGGACTACGCCCTCGCCGCAGCCTAATTTGACCTGAACTCGATAGTCTCGTGGAGGTATATCATCCCCAGGAGAGATCACAGGAAGACTACAATTTCTAAGAGACATTACCAGAGGAGATTAAATCGATTAACGGGTTTCTATACCGGCTGGCTCGATCCACACTACTGATAGATTCTAACGGACCGAGGTACATAGAACTGTCAGTGTATAGAGATTAATGGAAGAGTTGTGATTCTGTTTGAGGAACGAAACCCCCATGAAGAAGGGGGAAAGGCGGGGGAAGCTTTTTTTGATGAAGAAAAAAATATATAACGCCGACGGATGCGATTGTTTGCAACGTCCGGCCAAGATCGTTGACCCGCGGACTATTATATAATAATTATCGATTTATCGTTTAGCCTGTCCTGTTTGTTTTTCTATATTAAGTTGGCGTATTTATTTTATTTTTTATATATATATATATATACACACACGCGCATATATATACGTGTTTTCGTTGAATGAATCGTTACAAAAATCTGGTTTTACGATCGCGTGTCGTTCATGATTATCGGAAGTATCGACGACGACGGCCATGTATAAAAATTCGTTGCCCCGATGGCCGTCGTTTCGAACTAGTCGCGAGAATTACGATCGTTCGATGGTCGGTGTGATCGCAAACAATACTGGGAGAGAATGTGTGTAGCGTGAATGGATCGGACGAACTTGATGGACTGACGACGAGGGAGACGCGGTACGTACGAAGAAATGATTGAATCATGTTCAGAGCTGGGACGGTGATAATTACGAAGATGAAAGAAAACACACGACATCGTGAGAAATGTTTAAAACTAACCGTTTGTTGATGTGTAGATAATTGTAGATAGTAAATGTAAATATATGTATTACCAATCGTATTAACGGTACAGTTAATTTTAAAGAAGCAGCTATTGTACGCTAATGAAGAAAACAAAAAACGTTGCTGAACCACCACCCGTGTAGCTCGTCTCACGTATATCCTGGAAGGACATGCCCGGCTACATATACACACCCGTATACACAATTATACAAGCAAAACACTGAACGATACTCTGGGAAGCGTGATCGCAGCCCGATGTAAACGATCCAAGATCTGAGAACAAGTAGAGCTTTAGAAGGGGAAAAATGGTTCGTACTGATCATTTATGATCATAGAGAGGATCGAGTGAGAATTGCGATTAAACTGTCAGCGGTGGCTGATATTTCTTTGATAAACGGTGACAAAACGTGCTTCTTGAGCCTCGAGTGACCACAACGAACACACACGCCTGTGCCTCGCTTCGCTCTCTTTCTCTCCTTCTGCTAGAACACGGTACAATCCCAGCTGTAGAAGTTCTTGCGTCTAATCAGAGCCGAGGAAAAGCTCTACACTATGGTCGTACAATTACGAACAAACATCTCGATTTTTATGCAGATGCAGACAATAAGAGGGAATATGTTTGTCCGTGGTATTTGGTTTTTGTTGGGTCGATCTAGTTCATCTGACATAAAGAAAGAAGAAGGAACGGTTGATTTCTATTCTCGGTATCGTGTAACAATGAAATTTCACTCGGCTCTGATTAACCGCTATGAAATTGTTAATTCACATACGACCACGAGACTGTTCACGAGCTTATAGTCTCTATATTGTATTAGGATCAATTGACTGTGTCGCCCACCGTTTCTACCACTTTGTAAAACACAAGATTTCCGTTGTCAAAAGGTGAGGGGACTAGCCTAGTGTCGAGTGATTGTACAATTATTTAGTAGAACGAACGCTAACTAGGGAGAGGAAGTTTTGATAATCGATTTTATAAATTGATTTTTCCCTCGAGAACGATTTTCTAGCGGCTCCACAACGAGATGTTACGTCGAAAAGATAGAAAAAAAAAAAAAAAATAAAACTAAAGATGAACACGCCCTTTTATACCGTAGCGAGTATACCGTTGCCATTCCTTCCATTTTACTAGGAACAGTTTCTAACTTGTGTCGTTTCTACGATTTTCGAACTTCGTATTTCTAGGGCTGCTTTTTTTAAAACGTGTTCGTCGCTGATAAAACAGATTGTCTCGGTCGTGATTGTCGATGCTTATCGAGGGAAAGGCTTAAAAAAAGCAGCGCGATGCGAACGACAGAGACACGTTGGAACGGATCGAGAGAATCGTAGATCTGAACGAGACAGGAGTATCCGGTGCACTGGTTATGAAACGCACTTACAAAAAATTGAATAAAAAAAAACAAATAAAAAAAAAAAAATATGAAACATTGCCAGACAGTAGAAAATTCCATGGAGCACGGTTTCAAACAGAAAAAGAAAAAGAGTGGAGGAAAGCACAAAAATGTATTTAAACGTAGCTTATTACCAGCTTGTTTAGGTTAGTTTTTCGAGTACGTTGATACACTGAATGCGACGCGTATCGATCGTAGCATTGTCTAGGACATTAAATTAGGCGTCTAGGCGTACTCTTGTGATACTAATGAGGTAAATGAAACTCCTAAACGATGTATCGAGTCGCTTCTAGTATGTGTGTTACTCTGTAACAGTGCTTATCCTTTCGCGGTAGAGCGATCGTTCACCTCACGCCGATGAACTCGTGGAATCTCGATTTAAAAGAGCCAAGACAATACAAATTCGAATGCAAAAGGGAATAGAAAACCGAGATGCTTGACCGGGGCGATTTTTCTTTTCTTTTCTTTTCTGGGTTTATCTTTTTTTTTAGAAAAGGAGTCACAATTCTCGCCTTCGTGTCGATTACCACGGAATAAATGTACATTATAACGAAATAAAAAAAAAGATCGATCATGTGTGTCTGAAAAAATAATTTTTCGTTCATTTATTGTTTTTCTGTGTTTCCGTGGTTGTGTTTAAACTTGGATTGCTAGATTCTGTCGAATTAGACGTAAACGTTACGACAAAGTAATTATCGTCATGCTCTTGTCAACTGCCTTGGAGGGATTCTTTTTCTTCTTCTGAACGAAGCGTATTCTGTACTGAATGTAGGAGCATTTCCAACACACTAGGTGTCGTCTAATCTAAAATATACGCAACTGCCTCTACAAAGAAACTGTAGACGTATATTAAGCATGTCATGTAAAATCGAGAAGAGATTCTAATCGTAATTAACGACGATATTTCCTGTACGATCAATTGCGACATGTTGTACGCGAGCTCGAACGCTGCAAGTTACCTGACGATCTTCGATGCTCTGATATAAAAAAAAAAGAAAGAAAACAAGACCACTGTTAGGAATGAATTTATCTTGCAAAAATTTGGTCATCCAAGATCGATGATACTTTTTAATGTGTGTGTTTGAACTGTTTGAAGATGATTCTGAACTGTTTGAGCATGAAACCTTCCTTGTAAAGGATCACGTTTTTTTTTTTTTATTTTTTTTTACTTTTTCTGCAGCTCCAACTACTCTGCTCGCAATAAAAAAAAAAAAACTATATAAGAAACAGCTTTCAGTGTAATACAAAATACAAAGATATCAAAGGCTTAAACTTTGAACAAGAAAAATAGACATTTAGATTCTACAGAATTAGTTAACAAAATTTCTGAACTTGGAGAAACGTTCAAATATGTAAAAAGAAAAATTAATAGTTAATTTGGGTGAAGCAACATCTTCCTTAATTTGGGAAAGACCTAGTTCTAACCTCAAAATTCTGATCGCTAGAGATTTAGGTTCTTCTATGTGGGTTCGTGAAAATTAAGTTATATTTTGTTATAGATGTATATTGATAGAGGCGACAATGGTATTAATGAACAGACAGTCAAAAGATTCGAATGGTCGGAGACCGATTTTCAACAAATTGTTCCTTGACTATTGGAAATGGAAATTGCAGTATGCTCATCTATCCTGGACACGTTGAAATTAATTACTATAACTGTTAAACATAGAAAAACAATCAATATAAGCGTATAGCTTTCTGCGTTCGTGTACGAAAATGTAGGAATAGAGAAAGTAAGAATCTCTGCTGCAAGCGAAGTAAGCTCACACGAAAACTAATGTAATCGCAAAAAAAAGTATATGTATATTCGTAGTTGATTAGTGGATGTTAGTGTACCGACAAGAAAAGAAAAAAGAATCGTAAAATAACGATGAAGACGAAGCAACAAATTACATGTCGAGACGAAGACCTTTGGTATACACATTGTCAATTAGATTCAGACTGATCGCAGGGATTGAACACGCATAAAAAAAAAAAACTCGATGTTTTTCAGTGTTTAGCTATATAGATATTGTTGTTGTCGTTGTTGATAATCGTCGCTAAGACACGATTGTACGTCTCGATACGACATAGCGCGAAGGAACGAACTTGGACAAAAACGAGTACAGAAGAAAGGTTAGGTTCGTCTTTCGAACGCATAGGTTCTTTATCGCAGAGTAATAGTCGAAAACGACAGAATCAGTGTCAGCTGCTTGGAAAAATCGAAACTTCGTGCTATGTCGTTCAAGTATAGCCTGTTGTACACGTATAGACAGCTACTTGTACCAAAAAAACAAAAATATGTAGAAACGTAGAAAAAACACAATCGTTCTCATCTTGTATCCGATACAAATTCGGTATCAAATTTTAACTGTTTCATTATAGGACGTAATTTCTGGTAGGATTGAAACAGAGACGATTCCTTGTCCAAATATAAGTTGAAATCGTAGCAAACATTTTCTTTTCCCAAGATGCTTTCTTATCAACGAAGCTAACCTAATATTTACATTTGTATTATATGCTTCAAACACTCTCCGACAACATTCGAAATCATTTTTCGACTTATTTTTGAAGAAGGAATCATTAGACTTTCAATTGTACCCAAAATTATGTTGCATTGTGTGTTTATGGTTTTTTCTATACGTTGAGTTCATCGGTTCCCCATTATTTAGAATTAGAGTATGATGTATAATTTCAATATTTGAGGACATTGTTTCCCCTTTTTATTTCGTATTGTTAAATTGTTTCAGTGTTTCATTTTGCAATTTTTTATCGTGTATTTCACTTGCAAACACGAGATACGTACAAGACTCGAATCTTTCCTGCGCAATCCGCGAAACGATATTCTAAACACATTTTTTACACTATCAGCATCGTTTCGATCGAAACACGATCACATTCATCCTCGCGATTTCTCCAGAGGAAAATACTTTTTTGTATTATTTTTTAACACTTTATCGTAATTAATTGGATCGTTTTCCTCCATCGAGTAACGGTTGCTCGGTAATTTTTGGTCTAACCTAGTCGATCGAGGTACAAAAATCGTTTCGAACATATGTTTTCACGTTGCATAAAAATACGATGTTAAAGACATCGGCCAATGATATCAATCGTACATCGATCACGAAACCTGTTCTCCGATTACGTATCGATTCGTGGTACGAGTACCAGACACGAGAAAAGAAAAGGGAAAAAATGAAAAAAAGAAAAATCGAATTCATCTAGCTCACTCGTCCCATTTTTCGAGGGGAAAAAACGAAAGAAAAACATATCCATCGTTCGAAATATCGGAACACTCTTTGAGCCGTCGTACGAGACAAAATGGGGGGGGGGTCTAGAGCAAACAGAAAAGTCGGGGAATCAAAACAAAGGGCCCGGAGCTATAGGGGGCAGACGAGGACCCCTCGAAACACACATATATACACACACAACTCTCTGGACCAATGAATTTTACACTACTAATTGTACTGTCGCCTAAATCGCCACTTCCGTGGAAGTAATTCTCTCCCCGTTTCTCAATCTTAAAAAACTTAGGGGGCATCAGCAACCAAAACTAATCATTCCCGCGTTTCACGAGCAACAAAAGCAACCCACAACAGCAACACACTGTGTGTCTATCGTAATCGTATATTAGCCAACTGTATACCGTGTATGTTGAATTAATCGTACGGACGAGCCACTAAGAAAAACGAGAGAGCACGTTTGCGTACATTTCTTGTTGATTAAATCTTGTCACGTGACATTAAAAAAAAAGATTAATCGCGATATAATTCTATTTTTTTTTCTTTTCGTCATTCCAGAGAGAAATTACAGAGTAAAAGATGTTATAATATTTTAGCAAACCAACGTTTACGTTTTACGAGATATCCTGATCGCAAACGTGTCCCCTTTCTGAACAATATCGCATGTAAAATGACGAGAGATAAAAAAAAAAGAAATAATGTTTCACTCCGAAGAGTGAGAGTGTGTGTGCGCGTATGTATGTATATAACGTCAATACACAGTGCTGGAAGCGTGTATGTGTGTATATACCACACACGTGTACATTGCGTATACATATTATACATAATTTAGCGTCGCAGCGTGCATACACAGCAGAGACCCGTAGCGCGAAGGAGGTCACTATACATATATACATAAAAAAAATATACATATACATATTATAAATATATACATACGAGTAATGGTAAATTATAACGTTGTAAAGCTGCGAGTAAATGAGTGCTACGACTGCTAACGGCGGCACCAGAGTTACTAAGAAACAAAAAAAAAATAAAAGAAAACAAAGAGAACCCGATAGGGACGACGGAGAAAGAAAGGGATTTATTTTTTTGCCAAGAGAAACACGCCCTCGTTTCGCGGAGGGGAGAAGGACGGATATCAGTAAAACCAATGGAGTATTTTGCGAATGTCGTAACAGAGATTGCGAGTATTCTGCTGCATGTTCCGTGCGTACGTTGTATCGACGTTCATAGTCAATCTGTTCCGTTTAAACGAAAATCGCGGATCACTTTGGATGCGTGTGCGCGTACGTATGCTTGAAGAATTGTGATACGTGTGCCGCGCGCACACGCATATATGTATACAAAGAAGAATATACAAAAGATATTCAATAAAACGCCAATATTGTGAAGTACATTTTTATGAAACGCCATTCCCATTTGCGTGCACACTCGCGACGCGACTGCACCGAAAATCCTTATTTATTTAAAAAATACCTCGGTATGGCAGTCAGATCGATTGACAAAAGAAAAACGGTAGCTTGGAATGTTTATTGCATTTCTTTTACAATCGCGATTCCTGCCTGGGGTAACCTCAACGAGAATTTCTTTTCCCGAAAATGCGTAGGATTTCAAGAAGATGTCCATTCCCAAAAATGATTCTAATTGACCCCTGCAATCGAAAATAATTTTTCTAGAACGATTAATATTCTTAAAACGTTCCAATTGACCTTGCATGTTTCGAGATTAAACCCCTCGATGCTTGAATATTTTCCAAATTTACGATCCAAAATACACGACTTCTCTTCGTGTGCATTAATGTGTATTTTGTTGGGTATTGCAACACATCATTTTGCGATTTTAGTGACGCAGTTTACGTATCTTCTTTAGAATCCTGTATAATTTACTGATAAGAAATGAAAGATATAAAGATATAACTTATACAAAAGAAAGTATCGTACGAAGGACAGAAGGTCGGAGAAATGAATACGCGATGTACAACCTTGGTTCTCGACAACAATTCAAAGAAACTTGAAGTCTCCTCGAATTTGTCCATATTTCCATACCTATTGTTTGCAATAATTATTAATTAACATCTGGCAATAGTTAAAATAATGCTCGATAGCGTGGGTTGTATAAATAATTGTTTTAATACCATTTTGCGTAGAATATTTATTTCTCGGTCAAAGGCACGGTTAACCGTTGATTGATTGATGAACTCGCCAAGGACGGTCATCCCCACTACTTTAAATCTTCTGCCTGAGCTAGCTGCCGGTGACGAGCACTCACTCGCTCTCCCTCCTCGGCGCTGGTGGACGTGCGGACCCTCGTGGTTCGGCGCTCCACCTTTACTCGCCACTACTGACCACTGGCCGAGTACTGGTCAACTTTCTTGACCAATACTGACCATTAGTGACCAGTAGCGAGCGAGTTCCGCCTCTCCTCTTTCTAATTTCTTTTTCGACCTTCGAGGGTCTGTTGGGCTTGAATATGGGATTTCATCTTGCATTTACTTCTTTGGTCTCCTTCCATATTTCAATACTTGTTCCTTGTTTGGTTTGTTCGATGCACATTCTATATTGCATGCACAAATCTGTTTCATTGACCACTATCGACACAGTGGTGAGTGATATCTCAATCTCCAATTTCTCATTTCTTTTTCGATATTCAAATGTCTGCTGGGTTTGAATCTATCGTTTCTCCTCCTTTTCATTTATCCGGATTTCTTACATATTTTACTTCTGGCTCCTTGTTTGCTCCCATATTTTATTTTCGTCTTAATTGTTGCTTATCGTATATGTTGTGCTCTTGTCCATGTCTATTTTACGTCACTGGTTTCTCTGGGCCCATTTATTTTATTTCAAGGCTTCGTGTTTACCAATTCATTATATTTAATTGTTTAACTAATCGTAAATGCCGGCATTTTTAGTTTGTTTCAGATTATTTACAGGCCTCTATTATCGTGGGACATCGAGGGACTGTTATATCTAGGTTAAATTTATTTTTAAGGCCGCGATACCAAGCAATTATTAACTTAGCTTCCCGTTCACTCGTTCTCTCGTTTCTTGCTTCGATCCGAAGATTTGCTGCACGGTTCAGCATCGCGTCGCGTCGCGTATCCCATTATTTAGCTTCACCCCTTTTCAAACAAAATAATTGCTTGGTAAAATTAGATATAGGCATCGACGACTCGCGTGTGTGCCAAGTAATTCATAACCAACTAGCTTCTCGTTCACCCGTTCTTCCGTTTCTCGTTCCGGTCACCACTGCTTTGATGTAGAAAGCAAGTGATCGGCCGTTTAGCTGGTCCGAAGGGTCAGTTGCCGTCCTCTGGCGAGACGATCCAAGAGAAAGCGTATTTCGGCCGCAGAGGGGATCAGGGACTGTTCCTGTCTGCGGTAGCCCCGACACACGCTCCCTCTCTCAGTCAGTCGTCTCAAGTTGGGTCCTACGGGCTCCCAACAGGATGCGTGGGAGAAATGGGGAACCTCTGTGTCGGGTGCGTCGATTCACTTCCTCTTCGATTGGACTTGCTAAGAGGCAACGGAGCTGAACCTTTTGACCAGGTACTCGGTTCGCGTCGCGTGTCTCGTTCCTTGCGTCGATCACCTCTGATCGACATCGCGTCGTATCGCGTCGCGTCGCGTATCCTACAGTATAGCTTCATCCCTTTTTAAACGAAATAATTACTTGGCACAACTAAACTAGAAGATCGAAGGAACATTGCTTCCTTCTATCTCTCTGGTTTAGTAATCTAGCTTGTAAGAATGTAAAAGGGAGATCGTTGGAACTTTGATTCCATCTATGTCCCTTCGGGTCTCCAGTCGCAGCAACCTCCACGTGGTGAGACCTGGTAATCGGTGTTACCCACGATAAAAAAAGCTTTTCTATCGTGGGTAACACCGAGCTAATGGCTGCGAATTTAGTATTGCTTCTTGATATAACAAACGAATTTAGATTTATAGTTAGGCAGGTTATTTTTATTTGAAGAGAAATTCTTTTGAGAATTCATTTTCGTGTCATTCGCGACGTTACCAACAGATTCAGAAATAGTCAACTCACATGTCTTTACGCACACACTTCAGCTAATTCAATACTAATTCAGTGAATAGTTTCTCAACTGACCGCCATTCGTGAGAAGGGGACGCGAAAATCACCTCCGAATTTTTAGGTTAGTATGGCAGTCAGATTCGGCACGCGAAAGTCCATAATGTATACCTCGTCTGTGCATGCATCTAGCCTAAAAGTCTGATTATAACTATTTCAGGTAGGAAAATATTGCAGTATCTTTATTAAATGATTTTGAAACGAACGTTACTTTGCGAATAATTTTATTACAATTATATTACACTTAGATTAACCTGTTACAAATGACTGTAATAAGATTCATGCTTTACCATATCCCGGTTCACATCTTTTACCAATCTACAGCCTAGAAATTAATCGATCAAGTATTCCAAATTATCTTATCTATAGGTTTGAAATAAACATTGTAGATTAACATATTGACTTACCTGTTAACGCAAACGTCAGATCAATTTCTTTCCTAAAAAGTTCAAGAATATGCTTTGCACCTTCTGTGCCCGAGTAAGCCAAACCCCATAACATAGGTCTACCAACGAATACCTAAAATAATTCAGTTTTCATAAACCGAGGTTAGAAACAAATTTACATATTCAACATTATTAATATTATTACAATTATTGTAGATAAGAGATACTTACCATTTTCGCGCCCAAAGCTAGTGCCTTAAATACATCGATTCCTTGCCTCACACCTCCATCCATATAAACCTCTACTTTATCGTTTACAGCTTTAACTATTTCCGGTAATGCTTCGATCTAGTGTTCGTAAATTGTTTCCGTTATCTTTGTTCGGTATGCATATCGAAAATAATTAGAAAAATTAGTAACAAACCGATGCTGGAATACTATCGACTTGTCGGGCACCGTGATTCGAAACGATGATCGCTTGCACTCCACTTTCGATAGCTAAAAGTGCATCTTCCGGTGTTAGGATCCCTTTCAAAACAATGGGTAACTTTGTATTGCTGCAGAAACCCATAAAATTAACATTCGTCCCGAAGTCTTGCAATTACCGACCATAAAATTTCCTTCTAACCTTTTAACCCATTTGATATCTTCCCACGATAAAGAGGCATCAAACAGAGATGCAACATATTCGTTCAAACCGGAACCAGACTCCGTAGTATTTACTCTGTTCGACATCTCTCCAACGAAATTTCCTAATCTGAAAATATTCATTTTTCTCAACGACCATTGTCAAAGAATTCGGTACTTCGTATTTTATGTAGATGGCGGTAGAGTGTCGTGTTTAGGAGATAAATATTCTAGCACGGTATGTTAATTATATCGAACATTCTCTATGGTGGGTATCATTCGTCTATATCTTCGTTTCAATGTTTTTATTACTGGAAGAGTACCTCAAATGATTTGGTAGTGTAAATTTGTTTCTAACATCGGCCCGTCTATCGCCGAACAGCGGTGCATCAATGGTAACAACGAGTGCTTTGAAACCAGCTCTTTCTGCTCGTTTAATTAAATTTAAGGTAACGTTACGATCTACATATATATAAAGTTGGAACCATTTTATTCCTTTCGGTGCCGCTTCGGCTACTTCTTCGATGCTACTTGTTGATATCGTCGACAGCGTATAGATCGTACCAGCTGCTTCGGCGGCTGAAACGTTAGAAAGTTTGTCGAATGCTATAATTTCCGTTTAAAAAAAGGTTGACAAGAAAGTATCAAACTGCTCGAGTATGTCAGACAGTCCGATTTTTGTTGGACCTGCTCGTTGTCGTAATATCGAGTACCCACACGTCCCTAATGAAAATCTAGCAGAGTGGTTAACACTCGTTCCCAAAAGATAGTGTATTTTCAAATATTGCATCCTCTCCTCTTAACGATAATGTATCTATAATGGTACAAGCAGGTTATTTATATAATATGCGTGAACGTCTAAACCTAATGCAATATTCCATAAACGTTATTAAAGTTTAGGGAAAAGTCTGCTTTTACTGTATCGTATGCGGCCCGTTCGTCGAGAATTGCTTCGATCTTCGGGGGATCGATCCTCAGTCGACGCGTGGCAACCGTGTCTGTCTCATGTATTTTATTGAAACGCTGGCACCGACGATTTCGTATCGCAGATAACAGCTGATAAGCTAAAATTTTTCTACACATGAGGTTAGTTTCGAGTAGATAGTTCCCTAAGCCGGTGGGTAGTGGCGGGTTTATGTAAGTGTCGGTCTCGCGACATGAATCTTTCGCGATGATGAGAAGGAATGTGATAAGCCTGATAAAGTTCTTTATTCTGGCGGCCTTCACTGTCTTTCTGACCGTTGTTGTATTTCGGTACGTACGGACATCACCTAACCATGAAGTCGCAACACCGGTAGCCGCACTTGTAGCCATCGACGTTGACAGTCCGAAAAATCAGATCGATTCGGGGCAAAATTTCAACGACCATCTGTATCAGGTATGGGTTAAAGACCTGTTCTTTATACGCGGTGTTGGTCGATGCAAGTGAAACAGGTTTCGTGATAGCTTAACCTTCTGCATTCCGCCGCGCAGTATCGTACGATTACTTTCGTGCACCTCGATGCAAATAATATTTTATTTACCGTCGTGTACATTGCAATTCTATTGCCGGGGTATAACATTTGGATAAAATTTCTCAACAGGATGAGGAAGACAAAATAGACTGGCACGATTATAAGAGAATAGAAGAAGAAGCAAAAAGAAATGGAATGGGTGAGCATGGTAAGCCTACGTTTCTGTCACCCTCTCTCGACGCATTGAAGGAAAAACTGTATCAGGTAAATGGCTTCAATGGTGCACTTAGCGACGAAATCTCAGTGAATCGTTCTGTACCTGATATTAGACACCCAGATTGTAAGAAAAAGAAATACTTGAGAAATCTTGATTCGGTCTCTGTGATAGTCTCCTTTCACAATGAACACTTTAGCACTTTAATGCGTACTTGTTGGAGCGTTGTTAATCGTTCCCCGGCGTCTCTTTTAAAAGAAATAATATTGGTCGATGATGCCAGCACTAAGGTGGAATTGAAGAAAACACTGGACGATTATGTTGCCGAACAGTTGCCTAAAGTAAAGATTGTGAGATTACCGGAACGTTCTGGATTAATTAAAGGCAGACTGGCTGGGGCTAAGGTTGCAAAAGCGAAAGTGCTTCTATTTTTAGACTCTCATAGCGAGGCAAATGTCAATTGGTTGCCACCTTTGCTAGAACCTATCGCACAAAATTACAAAACTTGCGTGTGTCCTTTTATCGATGTGATAGCTTACGAAACATTCGAGTACAGAGCACAAGACGAAGGAGCAAGAGGAGCTTTCGACTGGGAATTGTACTATAAACGATTACCATTGTTACCCGAGGATCTTAAGAAACCGACAGAACCGTTTAAAAGCCCGGTTATGGCTGGTGGTCTCTTCGCCATCAGTGCTAAATTCTTCTGGGAATTAGGTGGTTATGATCCAGAACTAGACATATGGGGTGGCGAACAGTACGAATTGTCGTTTAAAATTTGGCAATGCGGAGGACAAATGTACGATGCACCTTGCTCGAGAGTGGGCCATATTTATCGGAAATTTCCACCTTTCCCCAACCCGGGCAAAGGGGACTTTTTAGGACGGAATTACAAAAGGGTAGCTGAAGTGTGGATGGACGAATACGCGGAATATATTTACAAAAGACGTCCACACTTGAGATCGTTGAATCCCGGAAACCTGACGGAACAGAGAAACTTGAGACATAAATTGCACTGCAAGCCATTCAAATGGTTTATGGACAATATAGCTTTCGATCTCGTTGATGTATATCCTCCCATCGAACCAGATGATTTTGCATCCGGAGAGATTCGTAACATGGGCGTGCCTGAATTGTGTCTTGATTCGAAGAAACGAAAGAAAGACGGACTCGTGGTAGTCGACGTTTGCATAAAAGACAATCCTAAGATTCAAGGAGAACAAGAATTTCGGCTGACTTGGCACAAAGATATCAGACCAAAGGATCGTACGGAATGTTTAGATGTTTCTAGAGGAGAGGTAAAAGCACCTGTAACATTGTACCCTTGCCACGGGGGGCAGGGAAATCAATTATGGCGTTACAACGTCGAAAAGCAATGGTTAATGCACGGTCACTCGTCGAGGTGCTTGGATACAGATCCAGCGAGTAAAAAAGTCTTTGTAACAAATTGTGATTCAGCGTCTCCAACGCAGAAATGGAGGATCGAGAAAGTAAATATGAAAGCCATCAATAACTGGGATAACGTGGGACCCAAACGTCATTAATTCCTTTGCTTCTTCTATTGCCATTGTTTTCTTAGTCCCTATTTAAGTGTCATTTCCATTCGTGTGTACATACATAAACATATTTCCTTTTCATTCAACTAGTCAATCTAAAATCGCGACTTTTGACTCATTCTCATCGTGGTGTATAGAAACGTATTTTAAAATTGTAAAACTATTTTATAAATCACGACAGAACGTACGTTTCTTAGCCTTTCTTACAGTATCCCCGTCACGAAATCTTTTTAATGCATTTCTACTGATGTAAATATTGTATGTACCCTCTGTTGTGCCTTAAACATATAGCTGCATTTAAAACCACAGCGGGACCTCGACTTACGCGGTTAATTCGCTCTAGAGCTTTCTGCGTAAGTTGAATTGTATATATGTACATGATGTATTGTATAGCGAAAGAAAAATCTCAGTAAAGTTAATGTAGATAATCGAGTAATGTTGTCTCAATGGTAGACCTTTTAAAGACTGATTAAAATGTCTGATCCAGCACGACTGTTTAGCAATTCTTATCAAGACTGATCTTCCTTTCTCCTTACAATACATTTAGTATGCAATCTTTGTTACGAAAGTAAATTGGAGTTAAACAAATCCACGTGTATTCTTGTATGAAAAGATAATAATTACTATTTAATCATAATTGTAAATCGTTAATCAAATTACATTTTGCTCCGCGGCGGATGCATGGAAAATATGTAAAATTACATAATCGTTCGCGTAACTCGAGGACTCACTGTACACATTAATTATAGTAATTACGTTATAAAATAACTTCGCTTTAATGCTCAATTTTTACCTACGACAGGACTGATCGAATCGTAAAATTTCTTTAATGCCAAACTCTGAAATAGCCAACTAAGTTTCCCGACTGACAAACAGGATACTTTTATATTATACAACTGAACGCAAAATTAATCTTTTCTTGTATATTGTTAAGTAATATTATGTACAAGCTGTTCGAAATAAATCACAAGTTCCGTGTACGATCGATATACGATAAAGCAGCAATAATTTTTTAAAATGTATGCGAACATATCAACTCTATTCACGCATTATCAAGCACCGATCACTTGATAACACGTTTATACACTTTATTGAGGTTTGTTACGTACACCTGTATCGACGTAACAAACGAATGACAATTTAGTTACTGTATAGGAAAAAAAATAAAGTGAAAAGAATCTATTTTATAAGAAGAAAAAAGAAAGATAAATGTATCACTTTCTATTGAACTTAACTTTGCTCTGAATATGGGTTAAGTTTAATAGAAACAACCTTTCAACTGTATCCATCCTGGCGAGAGAAACGGATTTCTGCGCAGCGCGTTCGAATTTTACGAAAGGGTTAATATATGAACGTACCTCTCGCGTTCCCGCATTCGCCGTCGGGATGCGCCATGCGCTGCATCGCGGATGGTGCTACTCCTAACGGCATCGATATCTTTTCACCTAAGATCGTGGTACTTAAATCCCTTTTCGAAACATCCCTTAAAAATCTAGGCCGTATCCTGTATCTGCAAAGTGTCACGATGTTTTAAATTGTAATCGTGTTTGTTTGTTACCTTATCATATTTGTGACGTAACAGGTTCACTTTCCATAGTACGTAATTCTATTAAATTCTCTATATGCGCGTAGAATCTAATTGTTATCAGTACGAAACACGCCATTGGATCCTAATGTCACTGACAGCTACTGCATTAAATACGACATGTAGTTTTATCTCTGATATTTGGTTTGGTTACAAACCTGTCACAAACGTGAACATGTAGTTGTCACGATACAGCTTATTTGTGGTATTTTTAATGATAGAAATAAACAAGACACAAGTTCTTTTTTATTTCAGACGGAAGTCCCAGGGACTTAACGAAATTATTTTTTAATTTCTATCTGGAAAATGAGTATCGTTAAGAAAAAAAACATTAACGACCTTGAAATGTCCTTGAGCCTCTCGTCTGGAATGAAAAGAACAGCCAACGCAATGTATACCCCCATAAAACGAAACAACGTCTGCGTCTAAAAATAAACGAGTCGTCCCGACGATCGGGTTTCAGCGTTCTGTCCTCTATTCATTCTCGATACGTACTTTTTAAAAGCTTCCGTGTTCAGTCTCAAACTGTACTCCTCACCAGCCCCGGAATTGTAATAGTCTCTAACGGAGGGCGTTAAATGGTTCAAGGCGTGCTTCTGGTAATCCTCTATGCAAACGAATTGAGCCATATTTTCCAAGATAAATACGCAAACAGCGATCTCGAATTATTTTCAGCTCGTAAAACCTCTTTTAAAACAAATTGTAAATATTTGTTCCTTTCGCAAGCGCACACTTTCCAACGGCGGCGATATCGTATTCGTATCAAGATCTTTGTACACTTTAACACAACACCGATTGTTATTAATATTTTTCACGTTGTATTTACTCGTAAATTCAAAGACTGTCGTCCGTGGCCATATGTTTGGATGAAATTTGTGCTTACACAGATGGTTCTACTATTGGCAACCGACTGCCACTGATGTGGAATAGTGGCGATAACCCGACGGGCGCAATATGTTCATTAACATTGCCGATAGAAGCTCCCGATTACTCTATTTAAGTTGGTATTGACTTCGTTTATCTGTGACGAATTGATGAAAGACGAGCAGTGTCTGTTTCCTTGATTTTCGCGAGATGAATCTCGTTCTTTGTACCGTGAATTCCACGCTATCGCGTGACCGCATGAACGCCGACAACAACATCGTCGTTATCGGTTTTATTGTTCCGCGTAATTCAATGTCAATCATGTAAATGAAGTCGCAGTAGACGTTTCGGAATTCAGTCGTGTATGCAACATGAACCGTGGACGTGTAATGTAAGAAAAGAATCACTGAACCCTTTGTCTTATGGAAACTTTTACTAAACATATAAAATCTTATCAAATAACATCTACACGTTGCTACACGTATAGAAACGATTTCAAGTCAAAAACTAGACCCTTGGTAAGCATCGGATCAAACTCATCGGTTGTATCTTTCTAATGACTTTGTAATAGTGTTGATATTACTATTTAATAAACTCTGTTATTGTTAATACAAGGATATTCGTGAAGTACCATTCCATACAAGCCATTAGGTATCATGTTCTCTCGATACAAAGTTCAAACATTCCGACGGAATCCCGACAATTTTAATTTCTAAAAATCGTATTAATAATGTACATATGAAAATGAAAATTTCTTTTTTTTCAATAACTAAAATATGATCAGGAGGTCTTAAAACGTGTATTTTCGTAAAAAAAATTTCACAAAATTATAAAGTAAAAATGTCTGGGCAGTCGAGAATCTCGACTCGAGATTCGAAATCGTATGCCATTGGCGGGAGGTTGGATTTCAGTTGTTCAAGAGCGAGAAGGCAAATGTGAGCCTTTCTCTCTCGACTCCCACGAAACGGTCCGAATGAGTTCGGGTAGCTTCGGAGAATCGAGAAAGAGAGCATGTGTCAGTTTGCCTTTGTCGACTTTCTGGCATCTCTGGTTCCCTTCTACTTTTAATTCCGCGCAAGCGACGCTTAGTGTGCACTTAACCTAATCTAACCTAACCTAATCCAGTGCTACCAGACGGCAGACCGGTGCTTAGAGGAAACTGCCCCCCACTTACGCATACTAATGGACAGCTGTGCACGTAAATTAGTTATGATTCACCCTTGTAGGAAAAGACAGGTTTAAATGCAATACGAATTTTATAACATTCAATCTTTGTTTATTTTGAGTCAAACAAAAATTACAGCTTTAATCTTTTTATATCTTCTGGACGAAAGTCTATTCTTAGGGAAGCGATACGACGAACTTCCGCAGGTGTTAGTCTCCATGCTATTGCATCTGCACCACAATAGTCGATCAATTCTTCTACTTTTTCTACACTTAAGATAGTAGCTATTTGTGTCAATCGTGCGAACTTATCGCGTATAGACCACGAGGTAGCGGCAGCCAAGTAACTTGCTAATGATCTTACTTCTTTATCGAGTATGAGGCCTCCTGCTCTGTTAAAAGTAGATTTTAATACAACTTTCTCCAAACGAGCCGTTACCTCGGCGGTGAGAAGGCCAATTAAGGCATCGTAATTAGACGTCGTTAAACTGCCTTTAAAGCTTTGGAGTAACCCTTCTAAATTCATAACTAAAGTTTGAACAAAAGGTTCTTCGGTTTCGTATCGTAATAAATCGTCCTCGTTCACGTGATGATCCACCGATAAAAATGCATCGACCCACGGTGTGATTCGCGGTTTAACAGCGCTCACGCGTAGTTGTTCCAAACCGTAATCTGTAACAGCTCGTAAAATTGACATGACGCCTTTTAAACCAGACAAACAGCTATCAATTTTACCCCTGTCTTTATTTTGCATGTTAGGGAATGTTGAATCTATTTCAGCGCCGAGACTTTTACATAGCGTTTCAACGTACTCGATACTAACATCGGTGTTATTTAGGTACGCCAAAAACGTTAGACGCGCGAGTTCTGTGTCGGAAGTTTGTAGACGGCCATGTTGTATACTTGTTTGAAGGGCGCTGTAAGCTTGAGCCAAGTCTAGGTATCCAACTGGATAGCCTTGTCTTAGTCGGTTTCTCAATCTATTTGCAAATTCTCCTTCTAATATACCACAAGCCATATTGACTACCGCGCAGACACCATCGATGCTCCAACTAGACATAGAACGCCTTATGCATTTTTGCACTATAAAGAAAACATCATCGACCATACTAGACGTTTGTTGATCTTGATCTAGAGTATCTATTCCCAATGCTTTATTAACACTTTCTTCGAGGAAGTATCTTTCCAATGCAAGATAAGCGCCTAGCAGTTCTTGCATCCCACGCGCCAAATCGGAATTGTTTACTATGTTTTCAAATTCACTCATTAAATTTTCGTATTGCGTATCATCCGTCGTGCTAATTTCTATATCGTTCTGTAATAAAAATATTATTTATTTAATTTAAATATCATGCAGCCAATCATTGTTATAAAATATGTATTTTAATTACCTTTACTCTTCTTCTTAAGAAGCGAATATATAATTCTGCTCGTGAATGCATTATAGTAATTTCTCCCAGTAATAAATCAAACTCTTTAGGATCTGCTCTTTCAGAACTAGGTTTGCGAAGATAGTCATTTACCATTTGTACTTTTTTAGAGATACATCTGTGCTTCATAAATTCCGTAATAATCTTTTTAACTTGCCTGTTTAGAATAGAAATAGTTATAATATTTTTTTACATAATTTTAAATCTATACACAAACAATTTACCTGTCGCATTCCTTTTGTAAAATAGAAATTGTTACGGATAGTCTTCCAGGACCATAGTATGTTTCAATTATTGGCTGATGTATTTCCACAATACGAGCAATTCCTTCGAACAATAGTGTCATAGTGTCAGCAAAAATAACAGATGCCCTTTTGTCGTTACTTTTCATCTCCAAAGCTGATTTTAAATTTTTTTGCGCTGTTTCATGCAGCTAATATCAGAAATATAGAATTAGATAACATATTTAGCACATAATTGAAAAGATACATTTACCTCGTTATTACCTTTGTGCATAGGTAAGTACAAAACTTTTTTAATCCTTCTGAATGCATTCCTAATAAAGGGAATATTTTGAAAAATCTTTCAACAGATGCAAGATCTTCCGACTTGACCGCTTCATCAAATTTGTGCGTGACAACAGTTCTGAGCTGGAAAGCTGCCTGTTGTAAAGTAAGTAGAGAACTGCTTATATTAGTATGATCCATTGAAATGTCTTCTGCCGTTCGTTCTAACAATTGTTGGTCCATTGACAGGTAACGATGAACGTGTGCAGCTCCTTGTTCAAAGTCTTCGTTACGTAATGCCATTGCTACTCCTTCGCTACACAATTGCAAATCAAGGATATCATTGACCCTTCTTTGACATTCGTATACTCTGCTCTATGAATTAAAATAATAATAATTTCAAGACGGCTAACATGGTACGTGATATGATAATGCAACAACTAATATTTCTTTAACATACCCTTGCTAAATCCAGCTGCCTTACTTTGGCACTTACATTCTCTGCCAAATCGTTAGTACGCGAAATCATATTACAGAACTTTTCACCTCCTTCTCGTATCACAATAACATTAGGTAACACCTTGCTTATATTTTGAAGCTTTGCTTCTACGTGACATTGTCTTGAAAGTATGTTTTCCAAAGTCTTTTCTATTTTACCCTACGATCAAATAGCTATTGTACAAACAATTACGAATCATATTTATATATTGCGTATAAAAAGAAATTGAACCTCATTCTCTGATAGTTTGTCAAGTATATGCGTCAAATTTTGTTGATTTAAAGGTAAATCCACAACGTGCATCGTAAATTTAGGTGTAGGATTTTATTTTAAAAGTTTATTAAATATTTTATTATAGTTTCAACACTACAATAATGTTGCATTCGCGACAATTCGAGTGTCGAGCAACTTTTAACCGTTGTGTATGGTCATCAGTGGTTACGTGTAATAAATAAATAACAATGGAAGGACCGAAGGAAAAAATATTCAATAACATATAGAGACATAGATGTGCATCAATAAGTGCACAGAGAGTGCATCAACGATCTCTGCAGGCAATCGGCTCAATGTTTCAAAATGGCGGATCATTCGAATCTACCTTATTACCCTGCTATTTAATAAGTTTTGCGATCGATTGGATAAATAAATAAAAATTTAACGTATCAAACTCTTGTACGTTAACAATTAAATTGTTCAACTTTTACGTTTATAGCGATCAAATTACTGTAAAAATTTCGATCAGACAGCTTCATAGATATCGGTATATACGAAAATTCACCAATGACAACGCCTCTACAGTGTTCCACACATGTATTGCGACGTCTCACGCATCGCGCGTGGCTTCTATAGGAAGTGGAGTTCTTTTCGCGCATCTTACGCGTTTTCCTCAAGGAAAATGGCTACCAGCTGTCATTTAATCGGGAAGTGTGGGTTCTAAAGTGACACAGGATTTAGTGAAAAGTCGTACGCCGCGTACAAGAACCGTTTGGCGCGATGCAATTACATAACATTGAAATCGTTTGGTAGATCGACGCCACTTTTCATCTACATGCGGAACCCGTGATACCTTCTACAGTGCCATGAAATTCTACTCCGCTTTACTGTTTACAGTTTTTATTTTTTGCGAAACGTATCAGGACTAACGTGTTAACGCCACTTCCACGCTCTTTTAACAATTTAACCACATCGACGATCACATTGTACAACCGTTTGCCGACAATATCAATCGTGCTACGTATCAAGGGCCAGAAATTTTTTGACCTTACTCACGTTATTACTTTGGGAGCGCATTAATTGCAAAGACGGTAAAATATCGTTTAAGAGTATTAGATAGATGAATCGAAGAATACACTATTGCTATCCATTTTTTCTATGTTTTAAATAAACACGGATGCCTGGTGCATTTCTTAAAGTTTAAACAAAAGTTCTGTATTATTTCAGAAAAGCAGTATGGGTTCGAGTCAACAGTTTTCTCTCAGGTGGAATAATTATTTAAAGCATATTACGTGCGCTTTTGACACATTAAGGACGGAAGAAGATCTCGTAGACGTGACTTTAAGTTGCGAGGGAAAGAGAATAAGAGCGCACAAAATGCTCTTATCGGCTTGTAGTACGTACTTCAGGGATTTATTTAAGGTAAATTTAAACGACAGATCGGACGACGCGTCGGCGGTGTTACGTATCGGGAAACAAATTTTTTGTACCATTTATTTCATCGTAGGAAAATCCATGTCAGCATCCTGTCATAATATTTCGTAATGTAAAATTTGATGATTTGGCGGCATTAGTTGATTTTATGTACCAAGGTGAAGTAAATGTTGTTCAGGAACAACTTGCCAGTTTCTTGACAACGGCTGAGCTGTTGGCGGTTCAAGGTCTTACGGATGGTACGGGAAAAGATAATGACAGTTTAGCGGAGGTACGTTTTTTAAGATTGAAACATCGCGTTTCGGTTAAAATGGTGAATAATACAGTTACGTCTTAAATTACGTTTCAGGATGACTTAGAAATTCCTAATGAACCTGAAATTCAACTTCAAAATACTTCTAGTAAAAATACAGATAAGAAGAGAAACAAATCACCTTCTTCGCCGATGCCTTACCATGCCGTTGACTTACAGCCCGACGTTCCACCGAGCAAAAGACGAAAATGTAGAGAAAACGCAAGTACGAACGTAGAGAAGGCTGTAAGTAATGCTTTGTCAGCGAAAGATTCTGAGAACAAAACGTCGGAAAATCAGACAACGACTAGCTCGGACCCTGTTGAAATAATTCCCCTTATGCCGAACTTGAAATTGGAAATGCCTGAATATTTAGTACAAGATGGAAGTAGCTGTAGTTACGAGGAACAAAGTTTAGGGGACAGTTCATTAAATAAAATTGCTATAGAAGATACGTCGTCTAATACTCCCGATCATGACCAGAAGCCTGACATCAGTCAAACATTTTATTCAAGTAGTCAATCTACTTCGGATAATTTGGATGGTAAACATCAATCGGCAGATGTTGGTAAGATCATTGACAATCTATTTGATAAAACTATAAATATATCGGTAGGTATATCGTATATTTTTGTGTTTCGATCAGGACACTTGCTGTCGAAACCTAGTACATCCGGGGAAAGGTTAACGCAAGAAGCAGTGCAGGGTAAGTGATTCTTAATTAGTATTTATCATATGTTTACATAATACAAGACTCGATGCTTTGTCATATCTTTTAAAGTTTACGTCATTGACGAACAAACTAAAGAAATTGCAAAAGGAAATGCTTTTTTGCCATTTACGGTAGAACAAACACTTAACACGTTCGCAGCGTTTACGTATTTCTACGTCACTTTTAAACGCCTAGCTGATTGCCGCTGACCGTAATTTTTCGTCTTTTATACTTGTTGGAAATCAGACGACAATCTCTGATGGACTATCTAACGATAAATCGATTTCAAGTTTATCAAAAGGAGTTAAAATAGTGTCTGAGAACAAAACAAATTTGTTTGCTTTGCATTGCAAATATGATTCGAATATATTTAATAAATTTAACACTTTGTCCAGTTGGATCTATATAATATTATAACGCAATTGTTTTTATTCTCTGTGGTAATCAGCTATATCGACGACTGTGAAAGTGTTAAAGATCCGACACATGTTTTTTTAAAGAAAAGAAATGGCATGGCAGATAGTTTTCAAGTTTTGTACCCACGTATCATGCACGCTAACGTTGTTCGATCATTCGAGAATTACTATACGTGTTACTTTTGTCAAAGTTGAAATTTCTATTTGAAACGTATATCGTAAACGTGGATACAAAACAGTTCTCACTACATATTTTTATATGTAACTTTGATTAACGTCAGATTATTTGTATTGAGGTTTGATGACAAAATTACGCAGAGTAGGAGGGGAATGAATTTCTTTATTTGATTTGAAGATATAATTGCGTGAATTTCTAACAGTACAAATTACATATGTGAATCCAGTAGCGTACCATTCTCGGCTTTTTACTATTCTCACACACACAGATTTGTTTCGCGAATACTTTGCCAATGTTAGAGGTATTAGCGTTCACGATAAAAGATTACGAATAAAGAAAAGTGAAAGTTTCATTTAGCATTCGTGGACCGAGCCGTTTGGGAATAAAAAGAATGGAAAATTTTTCAAAGAAATTTATTAATTTGAATACCTTAGGTTCGATCGAATGTTAGGTTTGACCGGACCTTAGGTCCAAGGTACAATTTCATCCGTTTCATTTTGATATTTTTTAAATTTTATTTAATTTTTTTTTTTTTTTTTTAAATTTTTTTATTTATTCTTAAGAGAAACGTTGAGATCGCGTGAAACGAACGCGTGGCAAAAACATTGACGCAAGTGTCTTTGGTGTATTCGGAGAAATGCATTTCCTATTGTCATATAAACAGTTACTTTATTTATTTCTATTAATCGTTTAACTGTACTATAGCATACAGAGTGCATGGTTTTTTGGATATAAATGTATGGTATATAGGCACTCGGGTGTAGGTTGAACTGTAGATACTAGTAAGCATTGCCAAGTGCTGTATGTGTGCCGACAATCATCAACATTCCTTTAATAACTCGAACAAAGCCACTACTATATTCCTTATGCGCACTAACTGTAAGCATATTTTTTTTCTGTATACACTAAAATACCTTTCAATGCTGGTATGAGGTTATTTCTTTGTATCGTAGAACTGTACAGGACACGCGCGCGTGTGCTGCAACTGCCACACGCGCCGATTTACTTGCATGCAAAGTTAATCTTAAAAATCACTGGGCATTCCGTTGTTGTGCTGTAACGCAAATATACTATCGAATGGATGGAATCTCGTAATTTCGATTCTCGGTCGGTCGTGACGTCTCCAATAAAAAGGTTCTCAAACGCTGGTCATTTAAAAAAAAAAAGAAAAAAAGTAACACTGTAACACGATCGTTCGAAGTGCACACTTTTGTCTTTTACCGGAATCTTAGAGTCGCGTACTTAAGATTAACTTGCAAACTGGTAATGATTTGTAAAGAAAACAAAAAAAAAAAAAAAAAAAAAAAGAATTCCGTAGCCTTGCAAAACGACTAATTTGAAGTAGCAACGGTGATGGTGCTGGTGATAGTGGCATGTAAACGATCTTCTTCCATACTTTTAATATCTCATTTACTTATCCTCTCTTTTCGTTGTGCATCGTATAGTTGAAAAAAGAAAAGTAATAAAAATCAATATGGGTGCGTGGGAATCTGATATCTAGGTCACAATCGATATGCCTTTAGAAACCCCGATAGAGATCGAGGTTAACACGTTTATCCCGAACGTGTAACCGGTAATCTTTCCGACGGATTCGAAAACCTCCACGTTAAAAAATTCACCGCGTCGCGAACGCTTTCGTTTTGTATACTCGAATCGTCCCGCGACGATCACGTTTGACGCGACCCGATCCGAACACACACGATTTTTTTTTGGCGTCTCTAGAAGACGAGTACCGGACAGGTAGGTAAGCAAAGAAGTATGTTTTATGTTCTCCGTTTTTGACCGTAAAGAGCAGGAGCATGAATATGAATCGAGCGAGAGCGCGAATGTATCGAGACCAATGCGTTTCGTCGAACCGCCCGATTGGCTACGGCCTTTTGCGTGCGATGGTACGAGGATATCGAAACGAGACCTTCATTCGTCCAATCTTTGTGCGAGAACGATCGAAACTGTAAACCGAGGACCGAACAACGATGTAAATAACGGTTGAAAAAGGCACGGACGAATCCCACGTTGGTCTTGTACGCTATCGACGCGTGAGAACGGATCGATCGATCGATCGTTAATTAAGAGTGTTGTGTGTGTGCGTGGAATTACTCTGGTTTGCTCGCTGTACGTGTTGAACGTTGTAAACTCTCATCGTGATGGCGACGTGAAAGGAAAAAACATTGTAAGTCGTATCACCGATCGGGGGATTATACCGCCCTCCGGGCGGGATCGAGGGATTATCCTATTGGGGGCGACCAAGATCGATGTTAAATCGCAAAACAACGAACATTGGAACACGGACAGAGTAAAACCGCACACGTGCCCTCCCCCCGCAGAAAATTAAAAAGTAAGAAGAATGCTACGATCCAGCAGAGACGCAGCGTCGAAGCGAGAACAAAAAAAAAGAGAGAGAGAGAAGTTAAAAAAAAAAAAAAAAAGAATTCGATGATCGAAGAAAGAGGGAGGAAGATTCATCGAGGACTCGGGTTTAATTGGACAAAAACAAAAAAAAAAAAGTATGTAATAATAACCATTAAAAATAGATAATAAATAATAGTAAAGAGAAAGGGGATGGGAGGGGAGAGAGTGGGGGAGAGAGAAAAAAAAACTGTTTTGCGAAAACGTGACACTGAAGAGAAACGGAATGAGAGGAAAGAGAACAATGATCGAGAGAGAGAGAGAGAGAGAGAGATTCGGCTAGCACCTGGCAATGCTATGTATTTCCATCTAAAAAAACACACGCATATATATATGTACATATCTATGTATGTACGTACGGAAACAAAAAACAAAAACAAAAACAAAAAAAAAATAAAAAAGACATATCGTGGGTATATCGGTATCGCTGATACTCTAGACTGGCTTTCACGGCTACGGGATTTGTTGGTGCTGGGATTGGTCGTTAAAAAAAAAAACATTTGTTTTACTAATGGTTGCCTGCATGTGCAGATATACTTAAGAACTGACTAACCGAAGTGTTTGGCCAATGTGTTTTCTCCAGGAGGGATTACGTACGTATCTGGTCAGCCGCATAGCCTCAGCAAAGCAAACGGCCACGGAAAAGTATGTGTACACTGCAAGCAGCGCGGAATGGTCACATCACGTGGAAAGCTCAGGCAGACGCGCTTCAAATGTTGGCCCTGCAATGCCTGTTTGTGCCGCTGGCCATGTTTCGTCGATTTTCACAAAATGCGCGCCATCCCGCACATCCCGCCCCCATAGCACCAACTCGCCCCCTCCGGCTGCCCCGAGTTAATATCGCTACTCAACTAATAACAAGCGCCCTGTGCTTTTTCGATTTTTTTTGTGTTTCTTACATCCACGATACAAGAGAGAGAACAACGCTAAACGGACAATGGAAAACATTGAGAGAGAGAGAGAGAGAGAGAGAGAGAGAGGGAGGGATGAGAGAAAGAAAGAAAGAGAGAAGGAGGGAGGAGTGCGAGAATTGGGGAGGGGGTGGGGAGAGGGGTTTACTTTTTTTTTTTTTTTTTTTTTCTTTTCTTCTTCTCTTCGGTGTCTTTTATAGCGATCGATACGGACGAACGATGATTCTTTTACTCTTTCTCTTGCGCGATCGTGAATAAGGACTCTTTCGAACGAGGGAACCCGAGATGTCTTTCATCCTATGGCTGTTACAATTATCATTAAAAGAAAAAAAATAAACAAAAAACAAAGACGAATGCTCGGAACGTCTCTCGCCCGAAAGAGCCCTAGTTCTAATTCTAATTCTAATTCTGATTCTGATTCCGCCACCCTGCTTTCGTACGTTTTCCGAGTTTTTTCTCTGAATCGAATTTTATCCGGGTAGGCAGGAATTAATTTTTAAATGAAATTTGAAAAGGATAATAAGCGCAAATCCTTTTTGCTCATGTATGTATATATGTATACGTATTCCTCTTTATTTTTTTTTTATACATTTTAGACGTTTCGTGAATTTTAGAAAGTCTTTTTACGATCGTTTTTATCGTCGTGCGTTGCCCGCATTACCGATCGTGTAATTCCCCCCGTCGTATGACGACGCGTCCCTTTCTGTGAAAGAGCAAAGGGTGGAAAGCACCCCGTTCGATGCATGTACCGTACTCGTCGAAACGACGGCTTCATTTTTATAATTTAATCATAGACGCCCAATTTTTTTAGTGTTTATTTATAATTCGCGTTAATTGTAAATTGACGGTTAGGTTAGGTCAACGGAAAACAACGACGATACAATTTTTTTATGTTCGGTGATTTTTGTCGCCCGAGACAGTTTTTTTATCGTGCGTACACACACACACACACCTAGGATAATGTAAAGAGATCGTTATTTATCTTAATATCTCGATTGACTCTATACATAAGACTGCGACGAGGTGAACTCGTTATCGAATTAATATTTTTTTTTTTTTTCTTTTTTTTTTCTTTTTCGGCTC